AGGAGACCAGCCAGTCAGGGTGCGACGTAGCAATGATGAAACATACAACTTTCCTCTTGTTCCTAAATGCTTCCTCCTCCCCCACTATCATGATCCCAATTCTACCTTACAAATCTGGGTAGACCAGAGGATGTACAGTGGTACAGATAGGAACTGGAAACACAGGGAATCCAGGTGGATGATCCCTTCAGAGCCCGTAACTCTTGACAGCAGCAGAAAGCCCCGTCTTTCCCCTGAGGAGGGCCTGGTTTTGAACCACGAAAGGACAACTGTTGTGTGACCTCTCTTACCTAGAAAGTCAAGAAAAGGCAAGCATGTAGAGCCTAGCATTTATCAAGTGGCAACCAGGAGTGAGAGAGTGGGGATGAAGAAGGTTACAGGTAAGGGGACCATCACATTGATTAAGCATGAGTTGCACGGCCAGGTAGTAATGCGATTGCTGTCCCTAAGTTGTACGCCTGTCTAGTGTAGCTGTCGAGGCTGCGGGTGCACCCTGAAACACTTCCCAGGCTTTGGGTCCTTGGTCTGCAGAGTTAGGGTCCTGGTTTCGGGGACATCCCAGTTAATTGGCCTAAGAACCTAGTTGTTGCTTCTGTCCGCCTCTTAGTTTGTGTGTGGCGTCTGGGGTCTTCAAAGCTTAAAAGCAGCTGCCCAAGACAAAGACGTCGGTTCCTATTCACGTGGAACGGCAGAAGAAGCAGAGCCCCGGCTAGGAGGATATGGAGCGGGTGGTCAACTGAGTCCACCAACAGTGACCGCCTTTCCCATGAGGACCAAAAGAAGCCGGTGCTTGACTCCCACTGCTGAATATTATGATAAAACAACTCCCCCAGCAGAATCCTGATCCGCAGTGGGGAGACTGCAGAACGGATTGTCACATTCTCTTGGAATCCAGCCTTTCCAGATTCCTAGAAGTTGAATAAACCCCTGAAAGAGATAATCTTTAAATCTTAAACCCAAACTATCCCCTAGAGTCTGCTTAAAACTCAGCGATAGTTTAGCTTTCATCATGACAAAGATTTGCTTTGAGCACTGTGCTCTTTGAAGAACTATCTCGATGGGGTCAAATGGGCAACAGCAACTCAGAGACTAGACCAAAATCTTAGTGGGCTGGGAGTTCACGTGAATGACGGCCAACTCAGAGAGAACGCACTAAACAAATGTCCCCAAATCGTGCAGGTGGAAACTGTTGCCTTGGTGTGTGTGTTTTAACAACAAAATACATAACATTTCAAGAAAGCCCAGGACTCTGACAGACGGGTTGCGATGAATCCAAACTGACTCCAGCTGGTTGACTCTTGGTAGTCTCCACAGCAATGTTCGGGCTCCCTGGTGGCCCAGTCGCCACGTGGTTGGCTCCAACCACAAGGTCAGTGGTTTGGAACCTACCAGCTCTCTGTGGAAGAAGTCTGTGGCAGTCTGCTTCTGTAAAGACCACCGCCTGGGAAACCCTGGGCAGTGGTTGACTCTGAGGTCGCCGTGAGTCCTAGGGGTTGCTATGAGTCAGAATCGCCTGATGACCACGAGTGTTGCAGTGCTAGTGGGCAGATGTACATGGAAAGCTGGGATCAGAGAGGACGAGTGATTTCCCCAAGGTCATACAGCCACCAATCTGTGGAGCCCAGGTTTGCAGTCTAGCCCGCTGACTCCC